GAGTGTGAGACAGTGCTTCAAACCTCTCGGCCTCCCGCCGCATCTCGACTGTCGCTATTATTTAACGAGAGGCTGCTGGACATCCCTAACGGAACAATAGCAGACAGAAATCCAACAAGTAGGGTGGCTGCTATTACTAGTAAAACACCAATAATCTCTGAACCAGCACGAACGAGCATTTGTTCGCCGTCTGTTTTAGCAGAACCCTTCCAAACAGGTAACGCAAGTTCCATGCTGGTACAGGCCGAGCGCGCGCCGTCGCAATCTGTCCTAAACGTCGTGAATGTATCGAGAACTCAGCGAGTCTCTAACGTTGGCCTGGTGGCTGCCGTATCTATCCATCCTGCACCCACCAATACATCCGGTCAATTCAACCCGACAGCATACGATGGTTAGTATTCGTAGGATCTGCTAACAAATTTTGAATAAATTATTATATCTCTTTTTAGCACGACGTTTGCTCCTCTCTTCTACTCGTCATTTTTGAGGCGTAAACCAATTTAAGCGTTTGTTAACAAATCCTGTAACATTTAGCACGCCAAAACTCGCGTGCATTTAATTCAGAAATTTATTCGTAACGACTGTAACTAATTAGTTATTTCCCATTCTCCCGCAGCTCGATTATCTCTCTCTGTAGACGCAGAGGTGTTAGCGAGAACACCGGACCAGGTAAATACGAGCGTTGACGATCGTAACCGCCACGGACACATCAAGCGGCCGATGAATGCGTTCATGGTGTGGGCGAGAACAAACCGACCGAGACTAGCGACGCAGCTACCTAACGCCAACAACGCCGAGGTGCGTACGCGTGTTACAAATCTACGTACACGGCCCGGGAACGCGTAAAGTTACATGCGCATGCTACGGATTCAAATGGCCAGTCCACGAAAGCTTAAATTTAACTACGCATGTTACAGAGCGATAGCTATTCAGTCCGAGAAAGATTAGAGTTACCTACACATGTTACGGATCTAAGTATTCGGTCCGGGAACGCTTGGATACGTGTACATTTTCTTGATACCGCTAGTCAGTTCCAATGCGTACATACGTAACGAATCCAGCTACACAACGATAAATGCTCTGGTGCGCATAAAATACGGTGAGCTATCTTCCCAATGTTGTAGATCAGCGTGCGGCTGGGCCAGTCGTGGAATAACCTATCCGAGGAAGAGAAGCGTCCTTTCTACGATGAGGCACAGCGTCTGAAAGAGGATCACAAGAACAGATACCCAGGTGCTGCGCATGCCTAATATCTGCTAAGGGAAATGATATTTGATTGAAATTGTCTATTTAAAAAAGAGAGGACATACTCAGTAGTACTTTTCCACGAGAAATCTACACCCATTGCCTCCCTTACCAAATAAGACGGGGCCAAATCTTATCAACATCTCGATGCCCTGCATTGAAAATATGTACATTTTTTTGTTGCCGTTGGTCGGCGCTAGTGGCACAATAGGAAAAATATATGGTGTATGAATTATATGGCGGCATCTCTTCCAATTCTTCCTAGAACGTGCGTTCAGTATATGGTCTAATGTCTATGCGCGTGCCTACTAGCTGCTAATAGAAATCAGCATTTGTATGGAAAGAGCGAAATGCTAACGAGGGTAAAATGCAACGAGGGACAAATGCTATTTTCGACCGTAGCGTTTTCTTCCGCGGTAGTTTCAACTATCACTGGCAGATGGTAGCTGTAGAAGAAGGGTTGATGCTGATGGCTACTGGTATAATGAATACCGTGAAAAGGCTGGTTGCATCATGTATCTGACGTCATCAGTGACGTCAGCCGCGGCTCACTATACATGTATGCGGGCAATCAGAACGATCTGTAAGTTCACATGCATCGTTATACGGGGAAATGAGTATGTACAGAGGCACCTAGTGTTAGCCATCGAATAAGAATGAAAATGAAAAATCGGTAAAATTTCGCCATTAAGCTTGACAGTATGCTTAAAATAATCTACTTAAAAATGAGAGGACAGACTCAGGTTTAGTTTCCTATGAAAAATATCGATCACATTTCCTCCCTTTAATAATAGTTTGGAGCCCAATTTTATGATCTGAAGTGTCATATGCGCATACTTGTTATCTGCAAAAAAAATTTCGTGGAAATTATTTGTATAAAAAGTAGAGGACATATTCAGGAGTACTTTTCCATGAGTAATCTGCATTCCATGAGTACTTTTCCATGAGTACTTTTCCATGAGTACTTTTCCATGAGTAATCCCATTCAAAGTGTCTCTTTAAATTCCTAGTCGATATGGTTGCTTTAAACCACCTAAAAGTAGCCAATCCCCTGTGTAATTAAAATTATTATCCGGACCATCTTATAGTTATTATCGGAGCTTGCTCGCTGTATAAGTGAGCTATAATTTACGCCTAACGAGACGACAAAATAGGAAGTATAACTTAGAAATTTGACAAAATAAATAACGCGTGAATACAACCACAATGTATTAACATAGTTCACTTTTTCCAAACAGAAACATGCTACTTTTGACATAGTCACATTACGTCGTAAAAACCCTGTATATATTCTGTATTGACGTTCGCGCTCGTCGCTGCTTTCATAGACTGGGTCTATCAGCCACGGCCGACGAAGGTACGGCGGGTAGGCGAGCCCTTCGCCGATAAAACACTATGGCGGCAGTTCGGATTCTCCAGCACGTTTCCGCTGCGAGGAGAGCCGGCAGATGTCGCCCTAGGCGCGCGCTATGCCTGTAAGCCGCTCGTTGCCGACTTGTCGACGTTCAAAGTCGGAGACGACTTCAGCAATGCGGCACACTCGCCGTGCACAGGTGATCATCGCTATCGATTTATATTGATTACATGCATCGATTAGTATATCGATTTCTAACTGCTAATGCCAACGGCGTCGGACGCTTTACGTGTCGTATTGCGTACAGCTAGAATTTGTATCGCAGTAGGAAAACTGATCGAGTATAGCTACCGATTAATATATTAATTTCTGGCTCCCAGGTGCAACATCGCCGATATTCTTTGCAGATTTTTCTATTATTCTCGCGTCAACTGTGCCGTATAAACATTCGCGCAACCCGTGTACTATTATGGCAACGCTGGTTTGCGCTTGCAGCGTTAACAAGATCCTGCTGTGCTACACCTGTGCCGGAACTTCCCGCAATCGGCAGGAATAGCGCGGGGAAAGGCGTGCTACTTCCGCCTTTCGCCTCGCTACGGAGAGGAACATCCGTCCAGGCAAGCGTGGCGGAATTACAGGGCATACACTCGCAGACGCGAACGTCGGCCCCCATGCCGAACGCCGACCTCCGTCACCAGCTGCTCCCCGCGAGTAGACAAGCAGACACGTCACTAGGGGGCGCCGCATCGCTGGACGGAAAGTCCAATGTCTTCTGGTTGGCAGACGGTCGTCGTTCGATTTTGTCGGCGCGGCGGTCAGATCAAATGCCTGGCATCGGCGCGAGGGTCTCTCAGCCTGCGTTCTCTCTAGCGACCCCGACGATGAGTGCACGCCCGGTCGCAGTGAGCTCTATCAGCCGTAACGCCGTACATAACGCTGCTGTGTTTACACCTGCCGCCGCTAACATGGCCGCCGTCACTGCGCTGCCGATTCTCCCGGGAGCGATGGCGTCGGCAGCCATGAAGTCAGCGGCTATGGCGATCGCTACGATCCAATCAACGGCCGCCACGCGTGTGACGTCAACGGCATGCGTCGAGCCCTCTACGGCATCGGTAGGCGTTGCCGTTCCGTCGTCGACAAGCGGAATATACGTCAACCCGGGAGGGAGTCCCGCCACGCACCGCGGCGACACCGTCGCGAAGGACGCAACCGCGAATGAATCCGCTCCTCTAATTAGCCGCTCAGACACGAGCACAGACAGCGAGGTCGAACTGCTTACGCGCGCCCTCTCACGGCGCTGCTGCTCGTGGCACCGTATCGGCACGAGCAAGTGTCACCTGTGCAGGAACGACGACGACGACGACAACGCTGACGTCGGCACGTCGCCGTGTCCGTTCGCCGTTCCGTTGCCCGTGATACCAGAGAGCGTGCTCGATAGCGTCTGTTTCAATAACTGCTGCTGCTGTTGCTCCGGTGGAACACGTCCTGTAGAGGAACTACTGTTCGGGCAAGACCGGCACGCGTGGGCGTCAACGCCCGACGGCTGCGTCGACAAGATCAGGGTGAGCAACCTCGACTTCGAATACGAAGAACTCACCGGGCCCGTGATCGAGAATCTTCAGCTCGATGTCGACAGGTGGCGCTTCTTCATAGCGGCCGCGACGGACGTGCCGCCCGGGCAAATATTCTCTTAAGGTGTCATCTCATACGCGATCGCGGTTGAGATACGACGACGATACATACGACGCAGCGTCCCTGCCGCATCTGACTTATAGCTTAAGTATAGTTTACGCGCGCGCGCCAAGCAAGAAAGTAGGATTAGATTAAACGGTATTGGAAAGAAGGAGCTCGTAAAAGTAAAAGTAAAAAGTAAAAGTAAGTAGCTCGTGTTTTAAGCTCGTAACGAGGCGTATAAGTTTTAACCCACGACAGCAGGGAGAAAATCTAAACCAAGTAGCAGTTGAACATGTGTATTCATAATAAATCCTAGTTTTATTTACGTATTTCATGCTAAATAATAATAAAAATAAAAATAAACAATGATGAATGACCTTGTAGATGACACAGTTGCTTAACACGTGCAGGAAAATGCTTATATATAAACATAAGCATGTATTAGTGTAGATACGACAGCGTAACTCCTAATAGCAGGGGGTGTATCCCAGGAATGTTAGGACACCGTATCTAGGCTTAGTGCAACTCTTCTTCCTACCCCCCTCTCTCTGTCCCCTCCCTCCTCTCTCTCTCTTTCTCTCTCTCTCTCTCTCTCTCTCTCTCTAATGCCAATTTTCGATAGGTAATCAATAGGTATGGGGTTGAATGTAAGACGTGCTGTCGCCGACATAGACCGGCCTGCGGTCAGTATGATTATATTAGTATAAGAAAATGTAAAATAGCGCATTTTGATTGTAAATGAATTGTAAATTGTTATTATTTACACTCTTTTCTTCTTACATTCTGTTTTAATAGGAGGATGAGTAGGCGAAGAAGGCTAAATCGGTAAATGCGAAATATTACAGTTTGATTTATAAATAGCATTGCTCATCTTCCTACTATTCATCCTCCTATATCACTAAAGCCATGCATAAACATTATGCAATATGCATATAAATGCATATATAATTATTATATACTGCGGGTATTTGAGCGCGTTCACAGCAGTGCGCGATTAAGCAGGAGTTCGGGTTAGCACTTAATTCTCACTACGAGCATGCGATCGTCGCGACAGCTCTCGTATGTTGGCGAACAGCGGACGTGAGAAACCTTGCGGTCGAATAACGTTTTCAATCACGTTAGCCTGTCACATCTGTTACATCTTCACATCTGTCACATTATAGCTTCGCGTCTAGTTAGAGTTGAATATATATGTGTGTGTGTGTGTGTGTGTGTGTGTGTGTGTGTGTGTGTGTGTGTGTGTGTGTGTGTGTGTGTGCGTATGTATATGTGTGCGTGCGCGCTAGCGTTGTGTGCGTGTGTGTGTGTGCGCGAGCGTGCGCGCGTATATATACGGCAATGATAATGATCAGTCTCATGGTCGCATGGCAGTGACCGTGCTGCCACACGCAAGCTTTATTAGTCCTAGTAGCGCAGCTGATATCTGGCCATTCTTTCTCGCGTGTCGAAGCCACCGGTGCATGACTAGATACCACCATGAAAATGGCCGCATAACGTGGGTGTGTATCTCTCTACCGCGAGATGCCTGCGGACCGCAGCATCCCATATTTTATAGGTCGTAGATGCTGCGACCTTGGCATTTATCGCTTCGCGTGTGAACCGGTCATGAAATTGTCGGTGCGTCCCGCTTTCGCTTTTCAAGCGGATGAAATCGCGGTAATATATATATATGTACTAGAAGCGGGCTCATTGTCGTAGGCTAGAGTAATGACGTGAGATAATTCTGGTAACGGGTTTGTAGGAGAGAGACCTTGCTGAATTATGTCCACGTTCGGCGGTAAGCGTAGCGACTAAAAATCGATCGGGAAAATAAATTCGGGATCTTAATTATTGAGATCTCGTTACGTTGATAAATTTCTCTACAGCTGTTCCGATATTCAGTCGCGCATTTTTATCATTATTGCTGTTTGCGATAATACTAATAGAAAATCTAGATTTGCATTCTAATACCGAGTGACATAACTTCTCATAATGATTTTCGATTACGTTCCAAACAACTTCTATATCCTAAAAGGGTAAATTAATTGTGTGTTGTGAATCAGAAGCAAACGTATAGCAACAATGAAATAAATTTTATACCAACTGTGTACACGTGAAACACGTTTGTGCTGCCGAGATATATCTTTATTTCGTCTGTGTTCGTTCATATTTCTGCAATTTTTCGTCTAAGGTTAATGCATTATCATGAGTGCAACTGCCCACACGCATCGTGTTATAAGGCAGGTTCAGGAACACACTATGACCTTAGCCACTGTGCCAAACCAAACATTTCTCCAGAACCACAATTCTCGCCAATCAGAGCAGAATTATGTTGTAGGCCCTAAACCGATTATCTTATGCGCTCTCTCTCTCTCTTCCCCCCCTCTCCTCTCTCTCCTCTCTCTCTCCCTCTCTCCTCTCTCTCTCTCTCTCTCTCTCTCTCTCTCTCTCTCTTCTTTCTATATATATATATTTATTATATATATAATA